AGTGTACTATTAACATACATTCGGCCCTATAGCACATTTTTTTGTTTTTTGTTTTTTATTTTGTTCGCATTTACCAAAAATGGTTGGGCTGAAGCTCAGTTCAAGCCCAATGTTAATGGATCCTGAAAGCCCAATAAAGTTCGCTCCGTTGACCTTTTATGCAGAGCTTGATGCAGAAGTGGGGAGGGTCGAGGAGCATTAATTTGCAGAGGTGGTGGAATTTGAGGAAGAAGAAGAAGAGTTCTTTGTGAAGGAGAGGAAAAGGAATGGCGTTCATGAGAGGAGAGCCATTGCTGGCGAAGCTGGCGGTGTTGGCCAAGTACGCGGTGCTTCCGGGAGCCATGGTCGCCGCTCTTATCTACTCTCCTCCCGATTATGGCACCTCCAAGGACGACAAATCCCGCAAATAAGTCTCCGTTCTTCTGTTCTTGGTTCGTATTATATTCTGTAACTCAAATCTTCCTGCTTTCTTACTCGCCCTCTCTGATTAATTAGGTTGCTTAGGGTTCCATGTATGCTCCTCATCTTCTTTATAAAGTTGGTGATTTCACCCTCTTTTCTTTTATAATTGAATATGTGTTTGCTTTAATTTCAGCTTTATTTATTTTAAAAAAAAACCCATGAATTTTTTGTTTCTTAGATCTGTATATGGTTTGATTGAATTATTAGCCTTTAATAGACAATCCTGCAATTTTTTTGTTTTTTTGACTTCTCTGATCTGTGATTTGTGGATGCCTTATTCTTAGTAGACCTGTTGTTGACATGTTTGATTCAAGGTTTTCTAGAGGCTTATAAAAGCTACATAAGGTTGAGGGTTGCTTGCATCTGCCGCATCCCATCATTTTTCTACTAAAGTCTCTGGTTTTTAGCTAAAGGGTTTTGAATAAGTTGTAGGAGGTTTGCATCTGGGAATGAAATGTTGATGAATTGCTGCAGTTTAGAGTCATTTAGGAGGGGAATTGGAGCTTGGTAGTCTGCTTAACATGTTTCTTTTCAACTTTGGACTTTTGTTCCTTTTGTTCCTTTTGTTCCTCTTGTTAAGGTCTTTTCTTGTTTTACATTTAAGAATAACAACACCTGGGATTGTAACTCACTGCAAAAGTGCAAATTTTTCTCTTGGTACAGGACCATCTCGAATGCTTAGGCTTGCATGTTTTGCACGCAATGTGGTACATTCAATAACCGCTGGATGTCTTTCGCCGGCATGTAAAGACTTCATTGTTGCTGTTTACCTTTCAGCGTTGGATCTTTCTTTGTTTTTTTCTTAGACTTTTTTCCCAAGATCAGAATGATCTAGATAAATTCAGGATTGTCCCTTTGATGGAAAGTGTGGGATTTTTATCTCTTTGCAATGCAAAATAATTTGAATTGTCATCTTGAATGGTATTTGCAGCTAGAAATCAATCAGTCAATTACATTAGAATCTTCAGTGAGGTGAGTTCCTAAAAACGGACTTACTTAAAGTTTTAACTAGCTCTGGAACAAAATGAGCTACATACTTATTTTGCTGCAGTCATATTAGTCTGCCATCCCAACATATCATGTAGATTGGTTTGAGCAATAACTTCACTAATTGACTGTTATGAATGAAGGATTATTTGTTCTCTCAAGATAGAAAGCTATCCCTTGCTTGAATGGAAGAAGTCAACATGCTTCAGATTTCAGTACTTGTCCTTGCTGTGTTATGTAGCGTCTAATTTGATTACTAGCAGTAGCGGTAAGCTGCAACGAGTTGGGACAGGGGATTCACTTGTCTTGAGCTGTTTTTAGTTGAGTGTAAAGAATGTAATATCCCAGTGTCATTCTTGTGCCCTACATGGCTCTCATTGTAGATTGTTTGTTCCACACATAAGAACATAGAGTAGTATTGGCATACGTGGTTATCCATGGGGTTGGTTGAACATGGTAGTAAGGGCATGCAGTTATCCACGGTGTTGGTCTTTGGAACTAACCTTTATATGTGTATGGTTTCTAGTTTTTCTTTTAACCAATTTGGCCAATGTATTGGATTGCAAAAACCAAACAATGCAATGATCTTTGGCTAGTTCATGCTCGACCAAGGCCCCCATATTTCTCTAGAACTAGAAAGAAACAGTGATAGGATTGTTATCTCACAGGCAATACTGTTAGAACTATTAGTTTCATTTCATACTCAAATAGTCATGCCTGGCAATATACTCTAATTCTCAGTTAGATGGAGAGAAAGGGGGATCCTCTTGACCCCAAAGTACCCTAATCATAAAGCTGGGTATCTATGTATGACATGACCATGCCACAGTGATGATAATATCGTGACTGCACGACCCATTCTATGGATGCTCCAAGCCCAAAAATCATTGTTTCCTCGGGACAGGACAATGCCTATGGAGCTGGCGACTGGCCAAGTCCCCCACACCTCAAAAAACTGTGCCACGCATGCAAAAGGAAAGTAGGGACCCAAATCCCATCATCAATAATACATAAAGCTGATGTCAATTATTATATACAGTTCATCTCACCACCTTATCACATCCCCCTCCCCCTTGTTTTACCTGCTCACCTCCATAAAGTAATAAACAAAAGCGCTACCAGTTTGGTTGTACAATAATACAATTAATTATACATAATATAAGCACAACGAAAATCTACCCTTCTTACATAGATTTGGTACTGATAGTTACATATGCATCGTGCATGGACAACAAGTAAATCCTACATAAGATTCTTTAGTGGTATGTCATATGTGATGTCCCAATACCAACTAGAAGATCTTTAGGAGTCCAGTGGCCAAGATTCAGCAGACATTTTGATGCCGGGAAATCCAACCCTGTTGATAGCAATTGAAGTAGACATCTCTTGTACACTAGCAGCCTCCTCAGCCATAACATCCATCTCAAAAAACAAGGGATTTGGATGGATCCATGAATCAGCAGGACCCAATTGGAAATGGGAAAAGCTGCTCTCTGTTTTACACTGTTTGGGTTCCTTGAAGATGCAGTCTTGATGTGAGAGCAGGGACTTGAAGAGCATGGATGCGGACGGATTGTTGTTGTTGTGTCTAGAAAAGGGAGGGTTTTGGTGGTGGCCATTAATGGGAAAGAGTACTGAAGAGTGAGGGACAATTGGGTTCATTATTAGGCTTTTGAGGTCATTTTCATTTTGATTCTGAATCTGCAAGTAAGGATTGCAATTCGGCTGCATTGGAGATTGAGCTTGAGAATCCAATAACGGTGTTTGGTTTGTTTCAAGCAATGGCGGAAGGTGGGATGCAGATGGAGATGATGAAGTGACTTCCAAAAGATAGCTTTGTCCTTGTGAAAGTGAAATACCATTCTTTTTCTCTCCACTTTTATGAAATATTCTGCATATCACCCATTCCTCCTGCAAAAATAAAGAAAATCATTCTTTTTTTTCTCTCTCTCTATCCATACATATAGGGCCATAAAGTATGAACCAAGCAAAATATTCTTCAAATCTATCTTTGTTTGTAACATGACTCGAACATAAAACTTTTAACCTAACAGATTCACCACATAAAATACAATTAATAAATGATTAAGGTGAAACCAATCACATCAAAACTACTCTATTGGGTAATATGAACTATGAAGAGTGAAAAAGGTCTAATCCGCATGCAATGGGTGACATAATAAGTCAACCCAGAAAAGGACAAAAGAGTGATGAACTCGCTTGATTCTCACGACGCACGTGTGGAGGCACCAGATATTACCTTGCACGTGTGACGGCAAGAGAATTCACCGTCCAAACGGTACTCATGCATAACCCACTTTGTTTTCTCCCCACGGGGAGCTCTTCCCTTGTAGAAGACGAGGGTTTTCTTCATGCCGAGGAGGGCACCGGTGGCCGCACTGTATACTTCTCTGTCTTTTCCGGTAGCCTTCCAGTAGCCGGCGCTGGTAGCTCTGTTTGTCCTCAGCCCTGTCGGGTACTTCCTGTCCCTCAGGCTGAAGAAGTACCATTCTCTCTCGCCCATCTTCGCCACATCTGGAACCCAAAAAACACTAACTAATGTTGGAAAACATAGGAATTATAGCAAAAAAATGTGTCAAGAATGGAACATGAAATATAAATTTTTCCAGCTAGTTGGGTAGTACTTCAGAAAATGATGGAGCTAGGCACCTGGTACCCAACATGTGTATACCTGGAAGCTCCCAAGGCTCGCATCTGTTGAGGTCAACTTCAGCAATCTGGACTCCACAGAAGGTGCCATTGAAGACTTTGGAAGCAAGGTAAAAAGTGATGAGCTCTTCATCAGTAGGGTGGAACCTGAAACCTGGAGGCAAACCGTGCTCGTTCACTTCATCTCCGGCCAGTTCCCTCAGGATTTCTTCCAGGGCCAACATGATATCTGTAATAAATTGTATGAATCTCAGTGGAAGATGATGAATGAACTATGAAATGAATAGCATGGGAATGGTAATATATATAATATACAAAATATATATATATAAAGAGATATATAGAAAAGAGTATGCAGGTGGGGCTGCACCTGAAACCTAAAGGAAAGAGAGGGGACGGATAGATTGGTAGTGGTAATATTAAAAGAGTTTTTTTGGGGGAAAACAAGAGAGGGTAGAAATAAATGCGAGGCAGGCAGGGGGAGCTAGATTTATGCGTGCGTGCGTGACCATGTTCAACAGTTTTGATGAGATCATTAGATTCATTACCACCTAATCCAATCTTTCTCTTTTTATTATGCCATGTCAAATTTTGTTTCTTTACATGTACGTACCACCATTCTCTCTCCCTCACCACTGCTAATGCCAGTGTCTTAGAAATCATACACAATTAGCAAGAGGAAATAAACTCTACTACAGTAGTTTTTTTTTTTTT